CTGGTTTGCTAATATTGTATTTGTTTTATTGCATGCATTTGCATCGCTGAACACATCCGTGATTTTTCCTGGGAAGAACGTCCTTTTTAGAACAAAGTGTCGTTTTTTAGAGAAGGCAAAAAAAGACAATAAAATTATTGGTAATGACACCTTTGTTGAAATAACCTCACACTTAGCAGGAGATGAGGAAGATTAGTATTGCTCCCAGCACTTACTTCAGCCGATAACTAAATACAGCGAAATTTGTATTCTTTTTGCAGTCATGTGAACGTATCGGCGAAAGAACTAAACGTATTAATCATGCGAAATGCAATGAAACAACCAATATTGGCACTAAAGAGGCAACTCGATGCATTAAGGCTTATACAGCAGTACCACGCGTGCAAGCGCATCTTCTACCAATTACTAGCGGCATAGTCTGCCCAGTACTTTAGGAGGAAGAAGATTCTTTGATAAAAATCGAAAAGGACCCGTTACAAGAAGATTATTTGCAAGGACGAATGTTGGGCAATCCGTACAAGAGTAGCGATCCCCGCATGGGCCCATTGATGAGGGATATTAAAAACAAAATTTGCCATGACTGTGAATTGATCGCATTGCTCGATGATGATACAGGAATGGAAGTGAGTGATTTTTTACTTTTCAGATTTTTGTAGCCTTTGCAACAATTTCTGTTTTTCAGTGTTCATGATTTCATAAAACTTCGAACGTTTTTCTTCTTACTCAGTGAACAACCATTTTATTGACAGCTGTAATCCTGACATGTCTTCTCGCACGTATAAGTCTGATATAGGTGAGCGAGCAAGATCTAACATGGCTTTGCAAATTTCAGCTTCTCATTAATCAGCAAATTGTTGCTCTGGATCTACCAGTGAGCGGCGTGTATGAAAAGTTGTGGCGCCCGAACCATCCTGACCAGACGATGACCATCATCCATTGTATGCATGGTCTTCTCGGCGATGCAACGGAATCGTTCGTGAAAACATTAGTGGACAGCAACAGTGAGTCCATATGCCTTTTATTAATGACTTGGTTGATACGATAGAGGAAATGACCTTCTTTGGGGAAATAGCACCGTCAAGTAATATATTTAGCATTGCCAGGGTGGTTGGGACCGACTTTTTCGATTTTTATGCGTTTTTGCTGTGCAGCGCTATAGCGCTGCTACAGCCAGCAAAAACGCATGTTGTCGAGAGGCTGCCTGTGTGTGTGTGTGTGCGCGCGCAAGGCGAGTGCATTTTGTCATCCACTTTCAACCCGGCAACCAGGAAAGCTGGGGGGCTGAAACTTCGGATATATCTTCCTACCCCGTGTGTCATCCTCCCGTTTTAAGATCTTCCCCCGTACGTGCCTAAACCCCGCGCACGAGACCCCCAAAGGAATTTGTTGGCGAAAAACCGTTTCGCGAACCTGAAACTTCGGATATATGTTCCTACCCCGTGTGTCATCCTCCCGTTTTAAGATCTTCCCCCATAGCCTGAAACTTCGGATATATGTTCCTACCCCGTGTGTCATCCTCCCGTTTTAAGATCTTCCCCCATACGCGCCTAAACCCCGCGCACGAGACCCCCAAAGGAATTTGTTGGCGGGAAATCGTTTCGCGAACCAGGCAACGTATCTAAACCCCGCGCACAAGATCCCAAAAGGAATTTGTTGGCGGGAAACGGTTTCGCGAACCAGGCAACACAGAAGGCTGAAATTTTGCAGGGATATTCTCTATGCACGTACGAGACAAAGGTTTTAAACTCAGCCC